ATAAAAGATGCATTATTTTTCTGAGATAGATGAGGAGGCAAGATGAGAAAGATAAAGAGACGTGTTCAAAGTCACACAGTTAATAAGTGGCAGAACCAAGTTTATAATCCATCTCCTCTAACCCTTTGAAAGGGATCAGGCAGCTACCTGTTGTAGGGAAACATGGCTAAGACAACAGAAGTCTCCATGATGATTTTCAGATTTCCAGTTAATTAAGGCAGAAATCTCTTTCCTCTTCAGGGGAAAATAAAAGATATATACGGATTCTTTGCAACTCCTGTCATTGGGAGGTGAAATCTACTATTTTATTTTTTTCCCTGTGTATCTGGGATGCCCTTATTAATTTGCTTGAACAATAAAATGTGGTGAGAGTGATGTTTTCCACTTCTGAGGCTAGGTCATAAGAAGCCATGCAGGTTCTGTCTATGCCTCTTGGAATACTCACCTTGGGAGAATCCAGTGCCATGTAAGAAGTGTTGGCAGCACCACTGTTTAGGGGAGCTCCAAACAGCCATGTGGAGAGGCCACACACATGGAGAGAGGTAGGGATGACTGGCCAGCCCCAATTATCTCAGCCATCCATACCCAGGACCAGATATGTGAATTATGAAGCCATCTTGGACTTTCTAGCCCCAGTAGACACAATGCAAAAAAGAACTGAAGAATAAGACTTATAAGACAGATCCTTAATGTATGTTCCCCTGTTGAGCTGTCTCAGATAAATCCAGTCACTTTTGCCAAACCTACAGGGCCCCAGTCATCAAGGAGTAGGGATAAGACATTCCTGATCTATCTTGTTTGAAGTGTGTGCATAATAAAATGGATGTGTTTCACCATTAAATTTTGAGGTGTTTTTTATGCAACAATAGATAAACAGAGCATCTTAGGTAAAGCCTTTGATATGACTTCATGATTGAGTGCCCTTCAAAATCAGAATTGTTAGTCATGTAAACAGCACAGTAAAATTTAGTTACCCAGAACTCTTGGGGAATAAGTCATTCTGGATGATGGAATGATGACATTTCAAAAGATGGAGGTGATCAATCTTTTAAATATTGGTGATGTTGTATTTTAATTAATATGAATAATTATACATATAATCATTTATACATTAAAATATGTATCTTGAACACTTACTAGGTACCAGACTCTATGCTAAGCACTTGATAAGAATCTTGTATTGGACAGACACAACCCTTGCTTCTCACAAATTTACAGATTAGCAGGGGAGGCAAAGGTACTAAATAATTTGCCCAAAGTTTCAAGGAAAATATGTTACCAAACCAAGTTTCCAATCCAGGTCTTCCTGATTCCAAAGTTCATGGGAACATACTTCACAAGAGAGTACAGCTGAGGCCAATGGCCCAGTCTCATACTTTTGACTTTATCCCTTCTTTTATCTTCATTTTAAGTATTGTCTCTCTGAAAATAGTTGCATTAAAAATTATTTATATCTCTCTACAACCTTCTAAATAAGACAAGCTGAGCTACATTGTAGGGATGAATTTTGCTTGTGTTTCTACATGGTCATAGCTAGGGTTTAATCAGCAAATCAAGTGAAGCAAACTGCAGTAATTTAAGATGGCACCAATGATAATAATAATGATTCCTTCTACTTTTCTGGTGCCTCTCATCTAAGGATTGTAAAATACTTTACAAACATTAATTAAGCCTTACAGAATTTCGATAAGGTCATGAAGCAGTTTAATTACTGTAATATATGGAAATTTTAAATAAAGCAAAAAATAAAAACTTCAGAATCACATCTTGAAACATCCCTCTTTGTTCCTGGTGGCATGGACCCAGGAATCTGGAAATGACTTCTCTATTCCTTCGTTTGTTTCCCAAGTTTTTAAGAAGTTGTGACACCATAATGCATCCCTTTTTCATATTGGAAGACACAGAAAAGTGACACTGTATATCTCATGTGACTTAATCAATTAACCAACATACATTTCACACTTGGGAAGTACCAGGCACTGCTATCTACTCAAGAGACCAGAGAATATAGTACCTGCCCTCAAAGAGCCTCCAACTCAGTGGGCAGATATATAAATACAATATTATGTTATTAGAGCTGTGCTAGCACTATGCACAAAGTATTATTCAAGCATATGAAAGTGTATCTAACTCTAAAAAGCAATAGCTAAGACTATATAGAGCTTATTATAGTCTTCCCTTCCAAGACTTTGCATGTATTAACTGCTTCATTTTCACAACAATCTTGATATGTAGGCACTCTTATCTTCCAAATTTTACAAACAAGGAAACTAAAGCATAGAGAGCTTGAGTAACCTGATCAAGCTCACCTTTCTAGGATGTGAAACAGGTGAGGTTTGACCACAGGCATTATCTTTAGGGTTCGTTCTTAACTGCTATGCTGTAGTGTAGACATTAGTAGGGTAAGATGAGACCCTAAAGAAATAACAATAAGAGAGAAGCAAATAATGAGTGCTCTATGCCCACAAATAGTTCTCATCAGCTAGGCTTTGATAATTATAGACTCTATGAAAAAAGTCAGTAAGAATGACATAATAGTACTAAATAGTAGTAGTTCTAAACCCATAGAATTATTATGCGAATTAAATAAGATAATATATGTAAAAATTTCAGAATAGTACCTGGTACTAAAATATTAGATATTATTGGGGTGTCTGCGGAGCAACAATTTCTTGTTATCCAAAATGCCTTGCAAATGCTAATACGTATCTAGTTCATGGGTGTTGTGTAGGCTAGAGATAAAGATTTGGTGTTATTAGCATATAGATGATAAATGATGTAATTAGAGTAGATTGGATTATCCAGAAAGAGAAAATGCTATGTGGGAAATGCTCAAAGCAAAATCTTTAAAAAGCTAATGTTAATAGATAGACTTTAAAGGAAAAAAACAGAAAAAAGGAAAACCAGTCTTTCACTAAAGCCCTGCAAAATATACTCACTATTGGCGAGATTAAAGTCAGCATATGACATTGATTTAATAACTATAATTAAAGTGGGCATATGTGTGAGTTTACTTGGACCTGTCCTGGTTTCCACCTGTTGTCCCAGCATAGTTAGTAAATAGCTTTTACGGTCACCTAAGATTCAACCAAGGGAGCCAGCATGTGATTTGAGATGACTCCATGAAAGTAAAGGAATGGAGTTTTTCTCACATTCTTCCACCATATATAAATAAGTAAGAATGTAGTGCAGAATTCTGCTGACAACCATTTTGCTTTTAAGAAGGAAACAAGCCTAAAAGTGAAATAATGCTGAACATGACAGCACAGAGAAACGAAACATATAGGTTCTTTGATAACATCTTTAAGCCAATGCTAATAGAACAAAGAACCTGACTTCTGGACATAAAGGTATGAAATAACAAATTCCTTTCTTTTTTAAATGGTAATGTATGGGAGTATTATTTAACTTGAAACCTAGAACTAGCCTAAGTGACATTGAGAGACTAGCGCTATTGTGAGTGAAGACAACACTGAGTAGAAACATCCTAACTGTAAGATGATTGAAAAATTAGCTTTCCCCTTCACTAATTACTTCTAAGGAAAGAGAATCCCCCCTTCACAAGACAACTGGGTGGCTCTTTGCTGAACATTGTAATGGGTATCAGTAGGCAAGTTTGGAGAAATGAGGTGGGGTAAGTACAAATGCTCTATTAACATGAAGAGCCATGAGAGAGTAGAATTTAGAAGGACAGCAAGTGCAGCCAAGGAATTTGGTGGCTACATGAAAAGAGAACAGGAAAGGGGACTCGCCAGTTGGGGGAAATAGTGGAAGGAGGAACTCTGGCGAATATATGTTTTTGAGGATTAATTTTGCATGTTTGATGGGGGAGATAAATGTCCACCTCTGTCTCCTTTTATACGATCTTCAATATATTCTATATTCATGACTGATGCTTTTGGGGGAAGTGGATTCTACCTGGGACACGCAAATGAAAGCTGCTTCTGGATCAACATTGGTCTGGAATAGAGTCATAGACTACATGCATCTGGATTATGTAATAAAGTTGGCAAATCTGTATGAAAATACGTAGCTGATACAAGGTCTATAAAGTTTAGCTACTTACCTGAGGCCATGAAACTAGTTGCTGGTATGTCTGGGATTCGAATCCATGATGATGTCCTGCTAGTTTTATTCCTTAATCACATTTTAGGAGAAGATGCTACCAATAGCTCTCTTCAAAATGGATCTGAATCAAAAGGGAACAGATTAAAACTTAGGAAAAAAATTTAAAGTGTTTTAACTTTAAATCAGATGGCATCTAAGAATTTTTTGTGGATTTTTGGTTTTTTGTTTTTATGAAAATGACTTCATAGGCTATAGACCAGGTTGTCTTGTCTAAGAGGGGGATTCTGTGTGATGCCCAAGGTGACAGACAAGTTATTATTACTTCTATGTATCATGACATCAGAAATATTGTGGCCACTGCTCATAATATCACCTATCAAAACCAAATTCAGGTTGGAGAGTATAGAACGTATACAAGATACTACTGGAGAGATTAAATACATTTCCTTTCTATTAATCTAAGAGCTTTTCTTCTTAGTGATGCAACAAAAAGAACATGGCCTTGGAAATTGACTTATTCAAATTCCATTTTTTACCAATTTTTGTTCATACTAACATTTTCAACAAATGATCTGTGCTTTAGTTCTGTTATTTGGAGAATAACATAGAGTTCTTGTCTCGAAATACTTATATTCTTGTGAAAAGGGCTGAAAGTGAGAAAAAAAAAATAACAAAGACAAGAAGGATTTTAGGAACAGATAAAAGGTTGAAAGAGATAAACTGGGCTAACATAAGAGAGAATGCAAAGGGGGTATAGTGTTGCTTTAAGAGAGGCGATAAAACAAACAAACAAAAACCATGTCAACACACATACACACACACACACACACACACACACACACACACACAGGAGATAAAAAAAGAGCCATGTAAGAAGTGATCATATTTGAAATATATTTTTGAGTAAGAGCCAAGAGGCCTTGAATGTGAAGTATGAAAGAAAGCGGGGAGAGTACAATTGGCCCTCCCTATCTGTGGGTTTCGCATCTAAGAATTAAACCAATTTGGACCGATATTTTTTTCAATGTTGCATTGTTGATGAACTGTACTAGGTAGTTAAACCTATGATGGTTTCATCTGTACTGAACATGTACACACAGGTTTTGGAACTAAGCAACTAGGTGAATGGCAGTATCATTGAGTAAGACAGGAAAATATCTGTAAAAGAGGAGACTTTTGGAAGAAAATAACTAGTTCTCTTTTGGCCATGTGAAATTTGAGGTGCCTTTTCAACATTTAAGGGAGATACTGAATAAGAAGTAGGACGCATGTATCTGGATCCCTGGAGAACTTCCAGTGACAGACATATCGTTATAAGCATTATCACCTTTAAAGTCCTGAGACTGATAAAATCATCTTGGAAGAGTGTTGATAGAAGACACAGAGCCAGGGAAAGAGTACTAAGGAACCCCAATGTTTAGAGGAGCCAGCAAAGGCGACTGGGAGGGAGAGACCAGTAAAGTGTGAGAAAGACCAGTTGAGCACAGTGCCACCGAATCCCAGAGCAAAAGGATATTTAAGAAGGAAATGGTTCATTGAAGATCTTTATGAGGAACCAAGTATTGCCTGTAGTAAAAAGAAAAGCCAATGAAGTCCTTGAAAATATGACAGAAGATAGAGAGGAGCTGAAGAGAAAATAAGAGGTGACAATGTTGAGAGAGTTAATAGAAGCAGCTCCTAAGGAGTTTTGGTGTGAAAGAAATTAGAGAATTGAAAGGCAATCAGGAGATCTGCAGACCAAGAACATAGTTTTGCTTTTTTTAAATAAATGGGGTTTTTTTGGAATAGTTTTAGATTTACAGGAAAACTGCAGACATTGTTCTTGGAGATTGTGTGGTAAGATAAGTGATTTTTAAGAAAGAGGGATAAAGTGATAAAATAGAACAGGGCGATAATGACAGCATGAGTTCCTTGAGAGAGTGATCCGCAGGGAAGAGATCTGTGGTACCAGTGGAGAGGGTTGGTCTTCAGTAGAAGCAGAGATGGAATAGAAGGCAGAGTGGGTACAGATGATGGGGACTTGGTAGACTTGACAGTGGAAGGATGAGGTAGCTCTCTTTGGAGAAGAAATCATGGTCATCAACTAAGGGTGAGTTGTGGGAAAATATGAAAATAGTTTCTTGGAAATGAAAGTGATTTTTCTAGTATTGTCGGTGTTTAATATCTACTTGAGATTTGTCTTCCTGTATTCGAAAAGTAACAAATCAGCCAAGTGTGCAAATTTTTTTTTAACTGATAATATTTATGTGTTTGGGTGCAGGCATAGATTTAGCAAAGTTGGATTTAACCAACATAAATCAGGACTGAGGTTCTGAGAGGCCTATGCAGAAATCCCCTAAATTGATCCACCCAAATCACGTGTATATTCCTCTCCTCCTGACTTCTAACCAACAGACTATGGAAAAGATGAAGGGATTTTAAAGATGTCTGATTAAGGTCCCTAATCATTTGAACTTGAGTTAATAAGAGAGACAATCTTAGATGGGCCAGACCTAAGGAGGTAAGTTCCTTAACTGAGTGTCCAAACCTTCCCAGAAGAAAGATACCTTAGACAGCAGAGACTCTCTATTTTGTTGACTTTGAAAATGGAAGCTCTATAAAATCTATAGCCACGAGAAAATGAATTATTTCAATAACCGAGAGATCTTGGAAGTGGGTCTTTCTCCATCTGAGCCTCCAGAAAAGTGCACAGTCCAACAGACAACATGATTTCAGCCTTGTGACACCATGAGCATAGAATTCAGCTAATGCCTGACTTCTGCCTTACAGAAACTGTGAAATAAATATGTGTTGTGTTAAGTCACCAAGTTTGTGATAATTTGTTACACAGCATAAAAAAATAATACAGGGACTATGAAAGTAGTAGATATGAACAAGGAGGTTAAGAGGGTTTTTTTTTAAAGAAATTATTATGATGCCAACCAATGGAAATGAGGCTAAATTAAGAAATGAAAATGGGAAGTGGGTAATGGACAGGATAAATATCATAGTCAATGGATCAGAAAGCTCAATGACAATGGATAATTGCTGAAGTGGGAGCTCAAGAGAAAATTAATTAAAAGGAAAGGTGGTATTGGTTATAGAGTAAGAGAGTAACAAAGGGAGAGAAAGAGAGAGACAGAGAAGGATGCAGTTAAACACCTCAGAGTATGATCATATGAGAAACTGAAGTGATGTGGAAGAAGATATATTTGGTGAAGGACTTAGAAGACGTGGGAGGCCAGCATGTTGGTTAATCTGTTCTATTCATGTAGAGTGTCAAACATGATGACCAGAGGGCAGTGAAGAAGGTAATATATGGTCATTTATAAATGAGACGGAAGGGTTGAAATGATAAATGGCAACATCAAAAAGCAGAAGTAGATGATGATGTCTGATAATATGCACTTTAAAGTATTTGGGGTCTTTGAAGGAAGAAAATGGTTTAAATGAGGCAATGAGAAGTTAGTGGGAGAACATACAACATCTGAGGGTCATAAAGTATATAAAACTGGAAGAAATCTAGCCTGTGGTTGAGAAATGTGGAAAAGCAGAGCCCACAGGGGACGTCTATATTTCGGTTAGAGGGAGAAAGGGAAGTGAGTATTTGAAGATATAAGTAAGATTCTGTCGATGATGTATTGCCATTGCCCAGAGACAATGTGACAGGGTTGGGGTGGGCATGCAGGTGAGTTTGGATTTAGGGTCAGAGAGAACAGGATGTGAATGAGCTTCTGGTCTGGGTGAAAGGCTTTGGAGTACCTGAGGTAGGATGGAGAGTTATGCATGATGGGATTCCTGGATTATCAGCACTTGAAGACTTCAGGGCTGCTGGATTTGACATGAAGAAAAAAACTGATTTTTGGACCTTCAGTGTAGACCACTTGACTAATCTAGACAACTGTTCTCATCCATCTCTAGTATACTTGTGGCAGCCAGGGACATGCAGAATGGGAAGAACCATTTATCTTACTCTCTCCATATTTTTACACGGAGTTACCATCATAAATATAACACCCCTGCCTCTTATTCCTCCTTTATCTCTTTGACCCTTTCTCATGGAATAGGAAC